GAGGTATAAAATATGGTTTTTAAATGATATTATGATTTGCAAACACTAAAAAATAATTGCGGTGGAGTTGAGAGAGAGCAAAAACATCTAATCTTTATTGTGTAAGACAATGTGATAAAATATTTTACAGCCAAAAGCTCATTTTGCATCTGGAAAATTGTGTAAACTGATGGGAGGGGGGGAAAAAATCTCATTAAAACCAAAGGTTATTTTTAATATTCCTCAAACAAAGCAACACTTATAGCTGCATTTCCCCTCCCTTTATTTATTAAATTAGACAATTGTGTGAATGCCGTATGTTCTATTTAAGTAAAGACATAAACTGATGGAGAGCGTGGGACGAGCTAATGGGGATGGAGAGATGGTTTGGAAGAGAGAGCCAGCCCCGGGAATGTCGGGATGGTGGAGGATCGGTGCCGTTCCAGCCGTGGTTGAGCCTTAGGTGTTGCATTCCCGAGCCCTGTGCCGGGGCCGCCTGGCACCGCGGCCCCGCAGCACCGCCACTTTTATAGGGCTCTGCGAGGAGGAGTGGAGAGAAGCAGGGATTCTTTTTTTTTTTTTTTTTTTTTCCCCCTCTCTCTCTCTCTCTTTTTTTTTTTTTCTTTCTCCAAATGTGCTTACAATTACCTCTCTGTATTTTTATTGTCTTTTTACTAACCACAAAACTCACACTGGAGGCAAAGCTTAACGGCTGAGGCTTTCCTCGTGTAAATATTAGGAAATTACATTTGTACAAACTGCGCGGCTTTGTAAAGGGGGCTGGAGCCACTCCAACACAAATTAATCAGGATAAAGTTGCTCTATGTTCAACATGACCATAGTTTATTTTCTTAAAGTATTAATTTGTCAACAGCTTTCCTGCCTCGCTGTGACTCATGTGGATGGCATTGAGGGAAGACACAGATGCAATCTTGCTGCTCTACCTTGCGGTTTTAGGAACAAGCTCCAGTTAATCAAACCATAATTGTGTTTAATTCCTCACTATTTGTTTTCCTACCAAAGTCAAATGACTGAAATATGAATATGAACCTGTGTTTAGATATTGTTTTCCTTAAAAAAAGAAAAAGGCATGAAACTATTTTAACTGTTTGCTAAACAATTTTTACTTACAAGCCCTTCCCTCCTCCGCTGTTTCCCCCCCTCCCTCAGCCCCAAAATAAATAAATAAGCTCTGGCAATAGCTTTTCAGCTGGTGTCCTTTGCTTTTTTCCCTCCTCAGTCATTCCCAGTGTGGAAAGCATTGCTTTCCAGCATGTCTCCCCTCACCCTTCTGCCTTAGCACACTGCTTATTATATCACCCTATTTTTAATTATATCTTGATTTTCGTAAAATGATCATTCGTTGTTATGTTTCTGGAATGCAAACGTGAGCGTAATGGGATCTATTTTTCAGAGTTGCCAAAACAAATTAAGGGAAACATTCGGCTCTTCCTTTGCCAAATGTTTTAGTGTTTTTCCATGAAAGCAAATCTTATTTCGAACTGTATATTAAAGCTTAAGTAAATAATGCAGCCTGGAAGAAACAAATTCTATTGTAAAATCAGTGCCTGTTCCCAGGCTTTGCCGGTGGTACCTGCACTGAGCTCTGCCCGGGAAGAATCGGGGTAATGATGAAATATTGTTAATTTTAATTTGCCTTTTGCAGAAACACCGAACTTTTTCCTGTGTGCTGCATGCAGTCCCCATAAATATGGAGCATTTGTTGTGGCCGCCTCACGGATGCCCAGGTAGGTGAGGAGGCTCTGGGGTAACAACATCATGCGGGGCTGGATCTGGAAGCAGCTTTAGGCACTGAGCTTTGTTAATTGTGGGTTTGGGGGCTCGCCTGTTCTTTAGCGTCTTTTATTAACATACATCCCCAAATAATATTGACACTCTTCTTGTTTTATTAGTACACGTTTACCTTGTTCATGGTTTTATTATTCAAGAATGCAGTTGTTGCCAAGTATTAATCAATATATTATGCTGCTCAGTTGGGCAAGCTGTACAAAAACATAGTGCCCCTAGGGTTAATACAGTCAAGAACTAGAAAAGTGTTTCAGACATGTACACAACATGTGGTTTACTATTATCATTAAATGAGGTGAACTGGGACTCTATACATATGGATTTTGAATTGCATAAATTTTGATTGATATCATTTGAAGACTGAGACCCTGAAAGGCTAGATTTTGTGAAAGACGATACACAGGCCAGCTATTACCACATACAATAATACCAGGAAAAATATCTGAAATGAGCAAGGCAGCTGGCTTTTAAATAGCTAAAACATAACATCAATACTTATTTTGAATAATGGAAAAAAGAGGTAAAAGATGTTGACCTCTGCCTGACAATAACATGTTCCAAAAGTAGAACTGGTCCCAGGAGAAAACCCCCTGCTCAACAGTAGCGACTAAGAAATTTTTTTCTTTCTCTTTCTCTTTCTTTCCTTCTTGTTTTCTCTTGCTTTTCTTTTAATTTTATTTTTTGTTTTTTTCTTCTTTTTTTCCTGTTTTAATACTTTATTCTCCCTCCCTGGCAAAGGTAAATGTGCTTCTGAACATGCAAGGCAGCCGCCAGCAAAAAAAAAAAAAAAAAAAAAAAAAAAGGACCAAAAAACCCAACAAAAAACAAAACCCCAAGAATTTTTGCAAATTCAGGAAACACTTGAGAGGTAAAACCAACATCCTGAGACAGGAGACAAGGCCAGCTTTTGACACCGGGCTGGACCTGCGAGGCCGAAGGAAACCTGGAGCCAGGAAGCGACCGCCGCCGGGGTCAGGCCGCCGGGGACCCCGCTCCTGGCCGAGCACGGCAGGCCCCGGCCCGCCTTTTCATGGGAAATTTGCTGAAAATTTGCTGATCTGCATGAAACATTTCTTGGGGGTGGGGGGGGGAGAGGAAGAGCCTTCCCTTGGCTTCTTGTGGGTTCCTGGTTAAGTGGGGACGATAATGTATGCGAGGAGTGTGAGGAGGCAGCGGGGCTCGGAGGCCCCGCGTCCATTTTTCCCCACTGTGTGACACACATGGAAAATCATCAATACCTCGCTTGGCCAGATTCATTCAATTTGCCTGTATTTGTTAAAACTTTTGAGGGAGCACCGGATGCTTAATGCTTCATTTATGATTTATGCTCCATAAATGTATTAAAACATTAACCATATTTCTGCTATGGCATACTTGAATTCTCCTGGGAAAAAGCCGGAGCGTTTCTCAGGCTGCTACTCCGGCTTCCCTGAGGAGCGAGATTATTTGTGTTGTGTTACACCTCCAAGTGTTGATTAGGCCTCGGTGTTACCCTGACAGAAGTGTCGTGTGGTGCTTCTCTTTAATGGGGTAATAAGCTACATCAACTGCATGAGGGAAATGTTCCTTTTCAAGTCAGAAACGGCAAGAAAAGTTGTTGTGTGAAGCCAGCGAAGGCTCTGTCCCCTCTGTCCCCTCCACTCTAGCAATACCCTCCTCTAATAGGGAACTGGTGGCTGTAGCACTTGGGTGGTTTGGGCAAATTTATAATCGGGGTTAGAACTCTCTAATATATTAAATGGTTACACAGCACCCTTTGCCGAGCCCGGCTTTTAACCACCTCACAGCCCTGCAGGCTCCAAAACACGGCTGTTAATTGGAAAGTAGGAAGGTTAAAAAATAGACAAACTAGTTTTCTGGCTTGGCTTTGACAGCATGGGTTATTTATGCAGGTTTTTTGTTGCCTTTTTTTTTTTTTTTTCCCCAGGTTTTTTCTTTCCTTGTTTCATTTTTTCCCCTCTCTTTTTGTGCTGGGGTGGAGGGGTGGGGGCAGTCTGGAGGATTTCTTAGTGGTTGGGAAGCTTCACATTTTTCAGTAAGCATTATTGGGTAACAATTGGTGCAAACATTATGGAGGGGGAAAGGCACATAAATCACGAAATAAAAAAATAGTTTCTGCACATTTTCAAAAAACACGTTGTGCTCTCTGAGGTCCTTTTCATTTTAACCAAATCAGGGGGAACTTGTCCTCACAGCGGCAAGGCAGATGGAACAATAAATCACAGGAACCATTGACTGCCTGCAGTGTACTCTCCGCAGCTGTCACTTTTTTGTCTCTTTGGTTTTAGCTGACATGGTTTGAGGTCCACTGTGAACCAATCTGGACTTTTTTTTTACCGTCATATCCATCAAAACGACCAGTAGCCATCAACCTACTGCAGCGATCGATTCGTTTGCTTATTCTCACGCATAAGCCAATACTCAGCTCACTAGGTGAGGCTTGGGAGAAGCACCTCATTTTAGCTTTTTTTTTTTTTCTCCCCCTCTTTCTTTCTTTTCTTCTTTTTTTTCCCTCTTTTTTTTCTTTCTTTTTTTTTTTTTTTTTCCCTTTTGCCTCCAGCTACAACTGTGATTTTCTGAGCGGTCTTGGCTAACGTTATTAAAGTTGCATCATGATAGATACAGAGCAGAGCCCGCAACGGCTTCCACCCACAACAACAGCAAACCCAAGAACAACCGTGGGGTTTTGCTGTTGTTGTCAGTGTTGCTTTCCAGGTGTAGCGAGACGTTTGCTAAGCTCGGAATTTCCAACTCATTGCTTATTTTGCAAAGTAAACAAGCAAATGTTATGTGCATAACCTTAGCTGTCTCTGCAAAGGTCAGTGCCTGGCTGCCGATTTCTTCTCCTGCCTTTTGGTGGCACTCTGATGCCAGCGATTCCTTCTGGCGTGTTTGGGAAACAAGACGTCCTTTCTTAACAAAAGACTCAATCTACAAAAGGCTGCAAAACAAAAAATTGATTAAATTTGAACTAGAGTATGAAAGTTTAGTTGGGTGGGTAAAATTGCCCCGTAAGCGCTAAATAGGGGCCGATCAGCACCATGGGCTGAAGGGTTGTGCTGGGCTCAGGCAGGACTGTGTGGGATGCTGGTAAAACAGGGGGTCCCTCCACACTCCAACAATACCTATGGATAGTTGGGATTGGATATCACATTATGTGGTTTCAGTTTATGACTTGAAATGTTGCAAAGTGTCTTTTGCATTTTAGCAAAGTGTGTTCTCCAAAGCACCGTATGTCACTGACTGAACTTCAGTCCACATTTTGGACAAGAGTGTGGGGTTTTTGTGGCATAAAAAGAAGTGAGGAGATATATAGGTAATACAGTCATATTAATATTTTTTTTTAATGTCAAAAATACCTGTTCACTTTAAAAACCTTCAGTTAGGTCAAGTTAAATTTATTATATACAATTTTTTTTATAGCTGAACTCTGTGATTTTGACTCGAGGTGACAGCTGAAAAGCACCAGAAACCCTTGGAATTTCAGATCTATATATTACTATAAAGGAAGAAAATAAAGTTCCACTAGGAGAAGGCAGGGAATTGCGTTTACCAAATATACATAGTTTAAAAAACACAACCTCTGAAACATTTACCTTAAAAAAAGTCAAGAGAGCAGAAGTTTTCTTTTGTATCTGTAGAGCAAACATCCCTGGGATTTGTAATAAAAACCCAGTTATGAGATCCGGGGTCCCTCCTGTTAACAAGGATCTCTTAGCAGATATTGAAATATTGCCACGTTGGAGAGAAGTTATTTAAGGACCCTCCAGGAGCTGATGCAAAGGCAGATTCTGCTGAGACTGTTTTCCTCTCTGCAAACCTTTGAAGGAAGCGTGTCCTGAACATATTCCACTTTAGAGAGATGCAACAAATAACAAGCTACAACCAAAGCCAGCCCAGCTTCATGATGAATTTCAAGGAGCGTGACCAATAATCCTTCTACTTATCTTAAAAATCCTGTGGAAGTAGTAAACCATTTCCAACACAACTGAAAGCAAAATGTGGGGGGAAAATAAGAAAGAAAAATCACAAAACAAGCCATCTGTCAGTGAGCAACCCAAGAATCCTGAGTCCACTCAAGTAGTTAGTGCATGTTTTTCTGTCCTGCTAATGGATTGCATATTGTTGAAAATATGAATTACAGAATAAATCAGAAGAAAGTAGCTGTTGTGGATGTGATCCTGCTCTTGGATTCAGTGAAAATATCAACCTAATTCTGTTTGCTGCTACTGGGGTGCACATCAGATTAATTATTCAGTGTAAATTACTCCAGATTGGCAATCGGAGCTCTCTAAATTTACTCACAGCCCGAGGAACGAGGCTGGGAGTCGATGAGGGTCAGACCAGTTTAGGCTGTGGATTTTCACAAACCCTCACCCTTAACGCTGGGACATACACACACATCTTAAATATACCTTTAAAAATGTCTTGTGTTGGGGAGATGCCAAACAGCTCTTGCTCCCTTTAGGGGAGACATGAAGGGTTATAAACCATGAGCCCTGTGCCAGAGCTGATGCCTAGAAAAAAAATCCCTGTTTCAAGTGACTCAGAGTTTTGGCTGAAGAGGGAGAGCAGGATAAGAGGGCCCTGCGTTATAGCAATTACGCAGGAATAAGGAATTTCACTCTGATTACCGTGCCAGCAAAATCTGTATATATATAATATCAGATAACATGGTCCTGCCTGTGAAAGGAAGGCCACTAATTCTACAGAATTCTTATTTTCAAATGAATTCCAACGACGAGAGCAGGGAGCAGCTTTGTTAAAAGGGCCAGTCATTAATATGCCTAATGGGGACTTTTCTCCTGTTCCTACCAAACGGTCTCTAATATAATTCCATGTTTTAACAGGAAGCAGTTCTGCATATTTTATAATTAGCTTTCCATGGTAGATATTTAATAAATGAAAGAAAGAAATGGAAAAAAAAAAAAAAAAAGACAGTGCCGACACAAAACTTTGCTCATCACTTGGCTATTAAACACCATGGGTTTAACATGCACAAAGCTGTGTGAGGTGGGTGATGTGTGGGAGCTCCTGGGCTGCTCCATGTGCTCAGAGCCTGGCACAGGCATGGTCCAGGCAGGATCGGGCCCGCGGGTGCTGCCGCCGCCGCTGCCGCTGTTGTTGTTTTCCAAGAGGAAATATTTCGGGGCTGCCCTAACATTAGTGCAACATATCACTCGGGCTGCATTCCCTGCTGACTGCAGGCTGTTTGATGAGTAATTAGGAGACCTTCTCTTTAGTTTGTTTGACATATTTTACAAAACGTGCGAATCTGTGAAAAATTTGCTTGTTCATTTAAAAGGCAGAGTTCCTAAATGAAGCTAAATAGATATCATTTTAGGAGGCTTTTTTTTTTCCCTCTTACAACTTCAAACACAATAGGCTCTTTTTGCCTCAAAAAGGATTTTTTTTTGTTTCTGTTGAGAAGTAATTATTCTGTTGTTGCATCTGTGTAGCTTCACTCAGAGCTCATACAGAGAAAATCTCTGTAATACTTGGAGATAAACATATCTAGACACGCAGATATTCATGTGTGTACTTAAGTTTGTTTTTATTTTACACCCACACATCAAAACTGGTATCATTAGCTACTTACTGTAAAGCAATAAACTCAGCTCTCTTTCCTCTGCCCACATCAAAGATGAACACTTTTTTCTTGATTTTCCATCTTTAGCACAGAAACCTCAGAGAAAATTTTAAATATTTTCAAATATTCCAGCACCCATTATGCTCCTTTTGTGAAATACACTTTGAAGATCATTTGCTGCTTCAGATTGCATGATCTCAGCTGCTAATTTAACTTTCCTAACTATGGCAGTGTTGTGTAATTGAAAAGTTAATTTTTTCTTGGTTTGAAACTGTTTGGAGTTCTTTTAAATATAAATATGATTTTCTTCTCTGCAAAATAAGTGACACCTCTCAGCACCCTAAATTTCAGGGAAAGTTGCTTCTTGCACTATTCAGGATTATAAATTAAAAATTTATATATTCAGAAATAAAAATATAACTGTTCTCAATTTCTTTCCTGTCAAAAAAGAACTCTGGTATTTAGAGCCAAGCAGTCCTACTGACCCAAAGGTTAAAGTTTTCCCCAAAAAAGCAATGCTGGAATAAGGCTATGCTAGCTGAGATTAAAATCCTTTTGTGCTGTAAAATGTGAGCACAGGGATGATTTAAAAACCCCATACTTTTCTAGTCAGCTCTACTTATTGCTTCAGGCTGAGCATTTTGTTTTCCCTTTTTTTTTTAATCCTTTCTTTTATTATTTTTTTCTTTTTTTTTTCAAGTGAACACTTGCTTATTTTGGGGAAGCATCTCATTTATCTGTGCCTGCTTCTTCCACAGACTTTTTCCTGCTGGAGAATTACTGCTTGGCACATCAATAGGCTGCAAATTATATAAGGGCTGTGTTTAACTTGCAGCCCGATTGCCACTGTCGGGAGGGTCCCCGTCTTTTAGCTAAACTGCCTTTTTCTGGAGGAATTTCAGATGTCTGTAATTGCTGCTCCTTTCAGCACAGCTTAAGGTATCAATATCAACTCGATTTGAATATCATAAGTGGGAAGTTGCTCTAAGCAAAACAAAAACATGTCAGTTGCCCAGGTGACATTTTGTAGCAAACAAGGAAATCACAACTCCAGGAAGTGTTGTATTTTATGCCAACAACAATATGACAGTTTTCTCTGTAAAGAAAACATGACACTTTTCCAAATATCAGAGGATGCCTCCGCTGCTCAAGGGATTCCTGTACTGTCACTGAAATGGAAGGTCACAGGCTGGTTTCATGATTTCTATAGTTTCAAAATGTTGTGGTGGAACGTTTGCACGCTAAATGCTGTAGGCTAAGGGAAATCTTTCCCTTCATCTCTGAAAGAAGTGACAGGAAGAAAAAGGTCCTACTTTGACAGCAGTAACCTCTAGGTCTAGAGGTTCTGCCCCAAGCAACTCTGAAGTAAAATTACCTATGTTAATGTGTTGTCCTCGCTGTCATCCAGGCACACGTGTGTGAGCGTGCAAGGAGTCCGAGGGGCGAGTGTGCAACCCAGGGGCTCCAGCAAATGCTCCTGTCCTGTTTTCACCTGGCTGTGGCTGTAATAAATGCTGGAAAGTTTCTGCAAACGATTTCTTTTAAGAGGTGGGGTTTCCACTTCTACTTCAAGAAGGTAGGGACCGACTTGCTATGCCAGTGCCTAATTCTTGACGCTTAAATAAACAGACTTTTGCTTTAAGCTTGGGGAAAAAAGTTTTAACTTCAAGGCTATGGTCAGGATCAAAACACATTTGTTTCCAGCCTTGCTCCTTTTTTTATTCTTCCCCCTCCCCCTTAAGAAAAACACACCTTAGTCTATAGATTATATACTTCCTGCTGCCCTTTTTATAAGCAATAAGAATTTAATAACTGAGGGCAACTCTATAGTAATATTTATATGGGTCAAGTGGCTTAAAAGTATGCAATAAATGTAAAGTTATGAACCACATTGCCCCTTTTTAAATAATGCAGCTAGCACCGAGATATTAGGTTTCATATTCTGGAAAAAGGTGTTTTAGCCTAGGCTTTAGGAGTACACCAGACATGAAAAGTTATACTGATCCCATAATAAAGTCACTGCCTGCTTAATATGGTGTGTTATGTAGAGCTCCAGATCTTAATAGCAGACCACAGCAAGAACGTCCCAGATGATATCAACAAAACCTTCGCTTTCTCATTAGCAATCAGCAAATTCTCCTGGTGTCTGCTGGTTTCAAATAAGGGCAAGTGCCTCTATTCCTGGTGTGAAGCCCAATAGGATAATAGAAATAATGTAGTCTAATCAGCAGCGAACACATGAGATCCCCCTGTCAGAGCAGGGCTTGGTGACTCCCCTTCAACAGCTTGTAACAGCCTTCCTGGTCCTGAGGAGCAGGATCTGTGGGATTGCGGGAGAGGGAGCAGGAAAAGCCACTCCTCGTGCATTTCCACCATCACCTCCCTGCCAGAGGACAGCTACTATTTACAAACAAGAGGGGTTTGAGGATGTCTGCATAAAAATAAATATTAACCCCTCCTTAGAGTTGTTGTTTTGAGTATACAAAGAAAAGCTGTGCGTGGTTTCTGTGTGCATAAACACATTTACGTGTGCATGGGCAGATTGATTTGATTTGATCTCATCAAACCATCGACTTCTTCGATAAATCTGATCAAATATTTGTCATCATGGCCCAAATGACCATTCCTTTGTTGTCCAGCGCACTGCTGATGTCTGCACACTGTCTGCAACTGTATTAGTATTTTTTTTTTAATTATTGCTGTTAGATTTAAACAGATTTTGTGTTTGGACGTACATTTACAGCAGGATATTATTAAGCATGGGGACCACCATTGCTGTTAAACCATTGTGATGTAAGTGTGAAGGACACACGATCATCCTGCTCTTGCAGCCTAAATAATCCATGGTTGTGCTTGGGGAAATGCAGAAGAGTTTCAGTTTTTGCACTGATTTTATAATTGTAAGGGGTTTTTTTCCCCTCCCTCGTTTTCCCTCGTGATTTCTGTGTGCTCTTAGAATATCACTGGTTTCTATTTAAGAGCATTTTTTGCACTCCTGTTCGGCCCTGGTTAAAAATTAAGCCTGTGAATGTGGCTGGTGCCATGCAAGGAAATGCAAGTCTAAGCTGCAGTAGTGTAAACAAAAAAGTGTTTTAAGAGGTGCTTAACTGTGTTTTGAACCCTGATTAAGCCTAGGGTTACCCAGTGTTTATATGTGCATTTGGAGTGCGTTGGGAAAATTCAGTGTTTAATGGTTCCTGTGCTGGTCTTTTGTTAGAGCCCTGGGCTGCGGTGCCTGAGAGCAGTGATTACTGGCCAGATTAAAAACCACAAACTCGCTCTTATTCCGAGTTTTGTCCAACTTTATTCCTGCTGATGGGAAGCAGGGGTCCCTGTACCTCCCAGAGTCAGGATTTTAAAAACTGACACCACGAGTCAGTCCCCCGAGCTCTGATTTTGCTACTGGAGTAAATAGTGAGGTAAGAGAGTGCTCTTTTGAACACATTCATAAAATTGGGAATGGTTTCTATCTATGGGTCTCATTATGGTTCTCAGGTCTGATTTTTTTCTTTGAATAACATGGACAAGGATGGTACCCATGAAGGCCAAATATTCAAAAAAAAAATGGATGAT